GTATGCCTATCTAGTGTATTCTATACTTGTCGAAGGTTCTCCATGTCAAAACCACAAAATTTTAAAAACACCAGTAACACAACTGTTATGTATTTTTGAGTTTTGAATAGCTGCAGTGGAAAACGTATCACAGAAATGGTTTGAAATTGAAAGCCATGCTTTGATACGTAATTTATAATATCACATGGTAGTGCATTTACTTAGTCGGCACCCAATTGAAACAGGGAATGCTACATGAATATTCTTATAGAAGGCTTCTTTGGTGTGAAAAAGTGCTACAATGCCTTTTCATGTATTGTACTACAGGCGCTGTATTGTAAAATTCGATTAAATTCTCATTGGATAAATATATAAAAAAATTTTAAAATTCGAATAAAATTCGAATATACATAAATAAAAACTCTGAACCGACTGTTAAGTTTCAGTCCAAAACTGTTTCACATTGCTGACAAGCAATGTTCCTTACCTAGTACTGAGAGATGTTAAATTTCCGGTCTATAAGATGTTTTTTTAAGCTAGAGAATGAAATGTCACTTTTTGAGAGACATCCAAGAGAAGTGATATTTCCCATGTTGAGGTATAAGGAAAAAGAAACTCATTCCCGCAGCGACTTCGACGAGTAAAAAGCCTCCAATTTCATGTCATCATAAAGCGACACGTTGAGACACCTCACCTTTTATCTGAGGCTTATATAGCTCCCCTCAGCGCATCACTTTAATGGAGGATGAGCGGTTATAAATAGTGCAAACAACCCAAGTTTCGGGTAGGGTAATTCAAGCATTAATGACCACTTTACATCACACCTGCATGCTTAGCGAAGTTCTAATAAAATTATTTGTGAATAAATTTATAATCGTATTTAATACATTTTGTAGAGATAAAATTAAAAAAAATCTTCAAACATTTGAAATAGATGCAAGCTCATAAAGAAACAATCTTGGGCAGTTAATAAAATCAGGAAGACAACGTAATGTTTTTGACACTGTCGAACTGTACTTGTTATAAGCCCGCAACCAAAACATGTGATGTTACAATCTTGTTTCTGCTAATTTGGAATAAATAAATTCCACTATTTTAACAAATAATGTTTTAAATTGACAGGCACCCTAAACAGAAATAGTTACCTGGCCCGGAGCTTAATTTTACCAAGAAAATTACGGTGGTAACAACGAAGTTCGACAGTATCGAACCAATAGGGAGATTTTCTAATAACGTGCTAATTAAAAGGTGCGTAAACTCTGAAAAGGAAACCCCGTGTAGCCTGTGGTTTTCAATTTGAAAGCTCAGGTGTGGACAGGCAGTAAAAGTTTCAATAAGGCGGCAGTACTCTTAACTGGGTAATTGCAGTACCAACATTCTGTGCGAATTAACTGTGGCCATTGTTCTCTACTACCGGACTACTGCACCACATGGTCAAGTGTAACTCTCCATTTAGGAAGCCTGATGTACCAAGAGGTACTTGATGTACCCAGTGGCTGAATTGATACTTAGAACAGATGTTACTTTATACATGTTACAATGCGTGTGACGAAAGTGTTAATTAACATCCCGAGAGTATGTTATTACATCCATGGTACAGTGTGTAATATTAAGTAATGTTATAAAACCGAAAAAGTGTTTGTATTCTTCATACTATACTAACTATAACAACTATAATTATTGTAAGTATATAACTGATAGTAAATCTAAGATAAAAAAAAACGTTTGGATTGGAGCTTTTTCGTTTGTTAAGGGGCATTGATAACCAACAAAAGTTTATAGCTTGCGGTTCACGCCAAACATTTGTACAAAAATCAATCAAAATTAAATGATTTTTTTAAAATAGATTTATAGGTAGCTGTAATCAAAACTTTTGTGCATGCCTTACTCTCATTGTACTATTAGGTGATAAACATACGTTTCTAATCCTATTAATTTTGAATCATACCGCATTTTCAATCCATACAGCTAACAAACAAATAGGCTTGGACAATTCTGACATTGGAAGTAACAGGAGTGTCGACAATATTGCAGTTTCGTGTAGCAAGTAGCTATAAAAATTCAACAATGACATTCACCTACCAGAGCGTTCACCTCCGACCTTACGGTAGGATTTCACATGGATATCGATAATAACGCACTTCAATAAAATATAAATTGCTCTATTATATTTATATTTTATAAAATACACAGTAGCCTAAACATTTACAGAAATCACAAGAAATTAATCTACATTAAAATAAAGGGGGTCGTACCGCACCAAATGTTCACAAACCCACACGATGGTAAAAGTATCGGTTTTCTAATGTATGTAATGTAAACAAGATGAAAATATTTAAAAAAATATTATTCCGGTGATCAGTATTTTTATTTCTAATTTTCAGTGACTACTCAACAAAAAGCTAATTCATTGCTTGGAAAGAAACTATAGTTGTTTTGACATAATACAATTTTACCTTTTCACCTTATCACCTTACATCATAGTCCCGGAGTATGTAGATTTTGAAAATCCAAATTTTTTTAACTAACCGAATATCATTGTTGTGAGAGCTGTCATTTAGGCTAAGTGGGTCGTTTTTGAACACAAGGCTATATCTAGATTAACTGTAGAATAACGTTTGTATCTTGGCTGACGTCATAGGAGTGTGGGGGAGAAGTTGGATTTAGTGTTTGCACTTGTCACTTTAGTATAGACTAAAAATCAAACCAAACAGTTACTATTGTAGCTAGTAAGTAACAGTTACTCACATCAGATAATTATTGTATCTGGTAGTCATTGGAAACGCAATATTATCGCTGTATTTTGGTCAGCCTGGCATTCGTAAAAATTAACTTTAATATTAGAATAAGTGTTTCATGCTGTTAAAAAATCCAATGAAATAAAACTTATTTATACCAATACATAGAGTACATAGAGTATAAAAGCATAAAATCTATGATGCAAGACAAGAAAAAATTCTAGTCAAACGAAAACTCACTTTTTAATGAACGAAATTCGAACCCACGTGGAAACCCCGGTTTGTGGTGAGGCACTCCTCAGTAGCATTTTGTATACATTTAAAAAGGGAACACCAAAAACGGCATAAATGGTGAATCACAGATCAAGCTGATATTTCATCTTACCGATTTAATAACCAATTCATTACGAACCCATCCCCCCCCTAGAAGATTTTCTTCCCTTGTTCTTAGAAGATGTTCGTAAAATAACTATGAAACGTATAATTCTAGTTTTTTTTCTTACTTGAAGGTCGCGTGAACCCTGACACTCAATAATGCTATGTACAGGCTACAATTGAGAAAATTGGTTCCAGTATGATAATTATTTATAATTGTTGAAAATGGTACTGCTCCTGGGGATGATTGTTAAACCTATATTACTCAGAATATTAGAGCAATTGCTGTTTTTGTTATACATTTAAATACATTCTTTGATTACACATAACAGAATCTGGAAAAATTGACATGTTTTATTTTATTTTATCAATCCTGCCTTATGACCTTGGACCATGGTTTCCTTGCCATAAACCAACCTCCCTGATTCCTGGTCCTGCTCCAATGACGCAAGCCCAAAGTACATTAGAGAAAGTGCTTTGGTGATAAGGTGTTATGGATTTGATGTCACTTATATTAGTACCTGAATGAAGTTTAAACTGATTGATCAGCTGATATGAATATGGTTATTGTTAAACACATATTTGTTTGTATGGAATAGTCTTCGTTCATTCTCATACGTGACTTGGGAGTGTACTCCTAGTATAGTTATTGTATTGCAGCCATTAATTGTTAACACCGTCGGAATATCTTGGGTGCTGCTATTGCCTATAAACCCTAGAATCGTTAATAGTCAACGGTGATACTATATAGTTAGTCACACCAGGTACATCAACTATATAATGACAACGCGAGGCCAAGTGACACTTTCCGGGTATTCCCGACTTGTCACAATTGCTCAATCTAACACTGTACAACCGGATCCCTAGAGTAGGTCAAGAACTACTGGTGTTTTGAACGATATTATTATAACTTTGCACACTACAGTCAAATTATCTAGGACATCAAATGCATAAACTGTGGTAGGAGTAAGACTATAACCCATTTGTCGAATCTGCATATTTTACTAACAACAAGTATATATCCAGCAATCTATATACTTAACACGATAAGGGTTTTCCCTGTAACACCCCCTTTCCCAGTCGTCCTACTAATCAGATCTTTACGATTGAGGTGTTATTTTAAAGCTGATGATCTAGCGCAACAGCGCTAACTAAAAAGGTCAATTAAAAGGTTTAGGGCTTCGCCCCATCACGTTTAATTTATCAAAGTATGAGTCTATTTTCAAAGGTCTAGTTTTGCTGACTAATTCTTAATAACAGTTTATATGTGAATTGTTATTTGACAGCTGTTCTTTCAGTTGAATGTTTAACCATAGTCAGATTGAACTAGAAACTAAACAGATGATGAAATGTGTCTTAAGAAAACTTATAAGGAACTTAAATTATATAATGACCAGTATAGCTTATATAGGGGTTTTTTACAACTGTTGCCTGATTGAGGTAGTTATTTAGTGAGTAAATCCCTCTTTACAGTGTAGATCTAATAATGACAAATTGATTGTTAAAGATTACTAGTTCGATTTACCTAATAACTATTCTAAACAAAGATAATCTCGAAAAAATAAATGGGTATTGCACTTGATTCAATTCCCTTTGTAAAAAAGTTTTGGACCCAATTAAACTGCGAAATGTGCGCACGGGTCTCCTAATTTATATAATTCTGTAAAGAAATAAGTAATGTACTTAAATGTTAACACTATCTTACAATGACTTAATCATTTTATGAATGAAATAGATACAAATTTTAAACTTATATTTCCGTAGTGGGTATAAAGTAGGCCTACAGTTTGGCACAGTGGGAGGATCAACCATGTATTGGATTGTGGAGTGGTTAAGTCATGGAGATGAATCGGTGTAATGTAATGTAATGAAGGGTCAAAGTTGAATGAGGAAAGCTGTAATACTCACGTTGATGAGTTGGAACTTCTCCTCGTCAAGCCTGCGGACAGACACATTCGCATTAATGCATTGGCTATATCACTTCAACTTGGTAATGGATAGGGCTAATTCTAGCAACTGTTTGGCGAATAAAACAAGTAGAATATTCTGACAATCATTTTAAAACATTTGATCATTTTATACGTATTATGAAAGTAAATAAATCTGAAAACACTTTAGATGACATATCAGTTTCAATATGACGAAAAAAATGAAAAAAATGAAGACTTTATTGATTACTAACAGCTATACCCTTGCCTTGCAACGGAGTCAGTATGCAAAATAGACAATGTTGGTCCTTTAATGCCTTAAAATGGTTTCACGCCTACCATTTGATTTAGAAACGAAATTGAACTGTGTTACTTAACTTGATAATGTGTGTTGTTTAATATGCTGTGTGGAAATGAGAAAGTCAAAATTAATTTGACAGTTCTGCTTGTTTACATTTAAACTATGTGATATTGTACTTTGTTGTAATGTAGGCCAATCGATATTTACAAATCAGTTTTATTCAGTCACTGACAGTGATAAGACGTTGGATAAGCCTTCTTTCACACCAGCGCGGTGCGGGACCGTCCCGCACCGGGCGAAGCTGTTTAGACTATTGAATCATATGGGAGCTTTCACACCAGTGCGGGTTGACCCGGACAGACCTAAACCTCCGTCCGGGTTGAAAAATCACCCGCACGAACCTAAACTTCCAATGCGGGTCGAAACCGCATGAATAGTTTTTAGATCATGGGATCTTATGTACGCTTTCACACTTGCGCGGGACGGGCTGGTTTTGCCCGCACATAAATCAGTAGTTTTGACTGTCTATGCCTATCAGCGGTTGAGTGTGGTTGATTTTGTTGTACTCTTGTTAATAGGCAAGTTTGTTGTTCTTGGTATTGAGGTTGAAATGTATATAGAGCTTATTAGTTTGGTCAAGTTTTATATTTTGGCTTAGTTTGAAGGTCAGCGTGTAGGACGAGACCCCCACTGCAGCAAACCATCATTCATTTGCATGTTTAAATTTTTACAAACGATTTTATTAAACATGCCAGATTTATTTATATAAAAATATTTGGTTTAACGAGCTAAAACCACCTACAAATATGTGCATAAAAATATCAACTATATATCAACCATATATATCAACTACAGAATTACTTTATCCCCTATAGTGCACTGAAATAAAAAAAAAAATGGTCCCAGATGTTATAGTATATTTCATAACAAGAGTAGAAAGTGAGTCATTACATATTTGAGATCATGTTTGAAGTGCGAGATTCATCCCACAGCTGTCACCATAACTTTTAAAAACACAAGGAATTGACATTTTTACACACGACGGTGCGGGACGGTGCCGCACCGCGCTGGTGTGAAAGAAGGCTTAGACAGTGCTGGCCAGCCTTTATTAAAGTTTTAACCAGTTTTATCACTTTTCAATCCATTTTAATAATTTGATCAACATGACTAGTTTTGACTATTGTGATTTTGACAGTTTTGTAAAGAATCTTTTGACATACCGCAATGTTTTAATACATTGATTATGTGGTTGCATACCTGGTTGCATGACCTGACGAAGTTCTAAGGAACGAAACTATTCGTCATACCAGCAACTGTGGTTGGATAAGGTAATCCTTTTATTTTATCAACATTATTTACACTTTCACTTATGAACTTTGAAAGCCCCCTCTTCTTTATAATATTATAGATAGATAGATTCATGCTATTATTTGTGAACCAATAGAAAGTCCCCGTAGTCAAGAAGTGAATTATTTGTATAGCAGTCAGCTACGGCCGGCTGGATTCAATCCAAAAACTCACTCTCGGTTTTCACAGCTCGCTGAGGACTCCCATCACCGATGATTTCTAACTCGTGTAAAAACTCACATAAAACCGTGAAACTATCCTGTGGCCTGGCGTCGATGTTAAAAATCAATGAATACACTCGTCCCAGGACATTTTAAAGTCTAATTTATTATAACTATAACAATAAAACCTTCAAGTTGGAAGAAACACGATACTGATGAGGCATCCTCCAAGGATCCCTGACTACCTACCACACAGGTTTGTCCGGTTTATAAACGGTTCTGGCAAAAAAGCGAGGCATTTACGAAACCGAATGTAATACAGGAAGATAACAGGTATTTGGTCTGAGGATTTGGCGATTTTGTCACCAAAAAACAAATACTACATTAGACGAATTGTATTTAACACTACCTATCTATTTATCGATATTACATTTTACACAAGAGAAAACATGAGAAACGATTTCCTCACAAAATAATAGTAACGAATGTGAAAAAATGCCATTTTATCTAAGAGAAATTTAACAACGCAGTCCAGCACATCGATGAAATGTTCAGCCTCGCAGAGTGAAAATTAAATGAGTTGTATCTAATAGGTGACAGAATTGTACAGATACCGAGTCAAAATTGTAAAATTAATTTATCAACGTACTACGTCTGCTGATTCCTACAGCAAAACCAAAATGTACGTGTCCAACATAGAGTTAGATACAGAGGTAGATACAGTAGATAGGACGTTCACCCATGACTCGACACATTCATTGTCGACATCTCGGACACAACACTCTGGCTGCTACAATTTGTAGCCATTCACTCGTACAGTACCTGCATACCATTCAATGGCCCGACTGAATAAACAAATCATAAAGAAACACAAGGTAAATATTAATTCCAGGAGTCTCCTGTGCGGTCGTGAAAAGAGAACAGAGAAATTGCTTGAAACAGTAAAACATAGCTGTTTGATGGATTAAGTAGAAACAGTAATATTTTATTTGTTAATATTTGCAATATTTGAATGTGAACGCTGATTGTAATATTGTATGATTGTAATGTTTGAGCTCTACGGCAATTTGACATTATTTTGTATATCTTCTTTGAAACAATCATCTTCGATTTAAACTATAGTTGATTCTGGGTAGTTAAACTTAAAATGATAAACTATCTATGGAGATATTATAGCCTAAACGATCATAACAACTATTAAATCAGATTCTAATTGACCAAATTATTAAATATTTTGAGAGGGAGATAAAGTGTTGACTTATTAATAAATGATGATATCATGTTTCCATGAATCATGTACAATACAGCATACAAATACAAATTAGATCGAGATAATTATTTAGCTAGTTAATTAATTTTATTCTCATTCAACTTTACAAAGAGAACGTAGTGAATTGCCATAGATGTATGGAATTCTACTTGAACTGGTTAACTAGATGATTAACTGAAACTACTTCAACTGCAATCGAGTTAATTAGTTTTAGTGGGAGAAGAGCCGTTAATATTGGAATTTAGATTGATTAATGCATAAACAATATTAGAAATAGCAATTTTCAGAATGCTTATTCCCTGCCATGAGTATATTATGTTGTATATTACTTTATATGTGGTTTAATTTGTAGAAATTGCATTTGTGAGTGAACTGTTTTGAAAACACGCAACATAGATCGCGAGATCGACAAACATAACTGTAATCACAATTTAATACAACACCAATATGTGATATTCTTGAATTATCTCACGTTTTCCTATAAACATTTTCAGGAATCTAGCAAAATTACTCTTCATTCATTTCAAGCATGTATTACAGAACGGAAAATCAATCCTGTACTAGAAGAGCCAACGTTTTTGTTTTAAATTGAATTTCATAGTTCATTGCAGAAATCACACAATTGATATTTCAACGCAACATATTTTCTTTACATTTCAAATTGGTTGTAATAAAAAGACAACTGTAACCATCATCTTTTAAATAAAAATGTCCATTGGTATCTTTATCATCCTCATGGAATCCTCATCATTCCAACGCTACAACAAACTTCATGAAAATTTTGATGGATTATTACAAGACCAAAATATTTTCAATACTATTAGATAAAAAAAAACATACTTGGGTATTTCTTAACATGATTGCGATGACATAATAACACCGATAAAACTATTATCAATAATATAGATATTTGTCAATAGTTAGGCCTATATATATTTTTTGTATCAAGATTTTTGTATCAGTATTGTACAAGTATTAGTCCAGTAAAGTACAAGTATCAGTGATGTATTGTTTACTCGGATGGTGATTAATATCCACGCTTGGCTCAATAACGCTCGAAAACCATGGTTGAAATATTACTTTTACACATAAAATAAAATGAAAAAAAAAATAACATTTAACTTAAAAAGTTAATCACGCTGATGAAAATGAAGACTGGTAGACTATAGGCCCTGGTCAGAATAATAACAAAACCATTTTAGTTTAATCTAGGGATTTAATTTGATATCTGCAGTGGACAGTTACTTTTTACACCACAATAACTATAACAAACTGATAATTCCAACGTGAACTTTGGTATGCCACAATGCTGTTGAATCTATCACCTAGTGTAGTCACTTCTATTGATGCCATCAAAAACAAAGGACTTGTAAAAAGAATGGAACGGATAGCCTACAGGTGATCGTCTCTGCACAATGATCTAGGAAGTTCCCGCCAAGGTCGAAGCAATTCAATGTCTGAAGATGTAACGACTCCAGTGTACAGTGAAGTGCATAAACTAGTGTTGTCGTAGTTGTATCCTGTATTGTCTAGCGGATCACATGCATACAGGTACACAAATACTGTGTCTACAAGTCAACTGTTGCGACACGCTGACCTTGAGATTCTACTATCAAGGTCGGACCAGCTGATATGATTACACGCATCCTTAGAACTAACAGACTATTGTAGATTCTTTGTGTACCCACGGAGGAGTGTATAAAAAATTACCTTTCAAAATAGAAATGTATATTGGAAGGAATGTTATGAGAAATATATGAGAAAACAAAAGTAAAGTAGAAATATTGTAGCCTTTTCAAAACTTTTGACCAGAAGCCAAACCCGAAGAGATCATAATTCAACTGCTGGAACACTGACAGAATTGTACAATTCTTGGACTCACTGTTTTGTTCCTGGTACAATATATTGTACGATACACACGAAGAAGTAAAT